CCCCCCCCATTCCCAGCCAGGCCCCGGGAATGGATATTGGGGAAGGGGAATGGGATGGGGGGGGGTCCCCAGTCCATCTCCTAGCAACCGGTCTCCTAGCAACCCGTTGCCTGGCAGCGGTGGGTGCGGGGACGAGTGGTCTTCCATACTTAATGAGATGGGAAGGGGCTGGGGGGGGGGGGACCCCCAGCACCCAGACCCCCTCACCCTACACCCCGCATCGCCCCGGTGGGGCTGAGCCACCCGCCACCCCACGGGGCACCCACTGCCCACGGCGCGGGGGATGAGACGGGCAGGGACCCCCTGTGCCCAGCCTGGAGATGGGTGATTGAGGTGGGGGCTGCTGTGAGCCCCCCAAACCCTGGGGACACCCTGGAGATACCCTGGGGACACCCTGGCAGGTCCCACACCGGTGCTGAGGGTTGGGGGGCCATGGGGAGACAAAGGCAGGAGGTGTTTCTCACGCAGGGACGGACCCCTTGCGGGGTCAGGGGTGGGGGCTGAGCTGCTTTGGGGGGTCAGGGCCCCCCCTAAACACCCATTTGCAATGGGGACCAGCCCGGCGAGAGCCAAATCTCCCAGTTCGCCTCCGCTCGGTGCAGCCAGGGCCGCCCGGTCCTTTGTTCTGGTGGGCGATGCCCAAATCTCGGCCCCTCTTTGTCTTCAGCCCCGTGATCCCGGGGGGGGGGGGGGGGGGGGGCCCGGCCCCCTCCCTGCTCCCACCCCGCTTCAGCAGCACCCCAAAAGCACCAGGCTGGCAGAGCGTGGGGCTGGCGGCAGGGACGTGGGGCTGGCGGCGGGGACGTGGGAACCTGGAGCTGCCTAGAAATCTGCATAATGTGGGAAATGTAGAGAAAAAATGTGATTTCTCAGCAGGGGCTGGGGGCGAGGGGGGGCCATCCTGGCAGCTCCACCTGCGGCAGCTGGAGCCAGCCCTGCCCATGCATGTGGCGTGGGGTGACCCCTCTGCAGGGACTGAGTCCCCCCCAGCCCCCCCCACCTCAGGGGCATGACTCCCAGCCCCCCACTCCCCAGCCACTGTGGGCTTTGCTGGGACAAACAGGAGGGGGGAACCCCCCCCCAGGGCCATGGGGCCAGTGCTTTCGGGGGGGGGGGCTACGAGAGGGCTGCAGCAGATGTCGGGGTGGCCAGGGGACGCGTGTCCCCATGTCCCAGCTGCGTCCCAACCACCAGCTGCCGCAGAGCAGCTGCCGTTTCGTCCGGAACCCCCCCCAGCCCCAAAAACCACACCGGGAGCCACCTCAGGGCTTTGTTCCCCTGTGTCCTTCCACTGTCCCCAGCCTCCCAGGCCCTGGTTGTCCCCAGCTGCCCTGGGGGAAGATGTTTTCTCCCCCAACCCAGGTTGGGCCCCATGGGGCTGGTTTCTGCTGTCCAAGCAGACAAAGAGGCGCTGGAAGGGACTGGGACACGGCCGGGAAAGGACCAGGCTGCGGCCAGGACAGGCACTGGGCCATGTTGGGGACAGGGGCCAAGACACGGTGGCTGGGAACCAGGGCACTGGGGCATGGCCAGGCACGGGGACAACGTCCCTGAGGATGGGGACAAGGGATGCGGTGGCTAAAGATGGAGAGCGGGGATGGGGACGACGGCACGGTTGGGGACAGGGACCAGGGTGTGGCCGAGGATGGGGACAGGGACGTAACTGGGAATCAGGGCAGTAGCCAGACAGGAGGTGGTGGCACAGCTTGGGGATGGGGACAAGTACACGGACGGGGTTGGGGACCAGG